AGAACCCCCGGCCCGCTGCAGCCCCACCCTCTTCCGTGACGCCACCTCCCGTCTCTAGGTAACGTGGTGGTGGGGCGGGGGTTGTGAAACAAAGCGGCCGCGAGGCGGCCGCTACCTGCTGACCCCATTCCTCTCGGACCCTTGACCCTCAGACACTCAGAGCCATGGCCCTACCGCTGCTGCCAGGCTACGGCTTCCACCGCAAAGTGAGTAGTAAAGGCGCCCTAGGTCAGACGTCGCGGTTGGGGTCTGGGGTCCTAGACTTGGCCACCTCCCCAAACCCCGAAGACCTCCTGCCGCCACCTAGCTTTCTGCGAATTGTGCTCAACTTGGACCAAACTTTATAGGCTGGTCCTTACTCTCTGCTTCCCGTTCCCCATTCCTCCAACTACAAATGGGTGCTTTTGTTAAATTAGATGCCTAAGTAGAGCTTAGAGGTGGGAGGACCCTTAAGGGTGGTAGATGGTAATGATAACAATCATCTATGAACGTTTAAGACAAGAGAGGCGTTGTGCTTTAATCGCCTTACACGGCATTTGATGTTCCCAACATTTCTTTGTATTAAGTACTATTTTTGTTCCCATTTTACAGTTGAGGAAAACTGAGGCACTGGCCAGAGTTACACAGTCTCAGTGATGAAGCTGGTGTCTTCCACCCAGCCTGTTCCCACAGCTCTGTGTGAAAGAGATAAATACAGTTTCTGTTAGTAAATTGAAGAAACCTGGCACTCTCAAGGCTGGTAGGGGGCAGATAGGTTAAGGGTTCCTTTATAGAGAGACACACCCAAACTTGGAAGGGTTTTTTTCTTTCTTTAGAATTGGGAGGGGTCTCTTCAAAACAAGATGAAGGTATAAAGCAAAACAACACAATATAAAAATCCCTGAATATGAAAGGACTTTCGCCAATAAATAGCATCTTATATCAGCAGAAAAATGATTCAGGCTTTTGTTCTCATTGGTTAACTACTATTTTTTTTTTTTACTCTTGGGTTTTCCAGTTGTGTTTCTAGGAAGAAGGTAAGTAACATACCAATGGGAGGGAACTAGGTGGAGCCATTCAAGGTATTTTGTGTAAAGCTCTGGTAAGTTTAGAAAGCAGGTGGCGGACTAAAGCATTGGATTTTATGGGTTCTGAACAATGTCTGTATCTAAGTTGTGGGCCCTCATGTACAAGGTTTCTTTGTAGCTTCGGCCCACTGCATTCTGACTCCTACAGGAGGGCTTGACCTGTCCAGCTTGCTTCTTGAACACTGGTTTGTATATTTCTTGGCTGACCGGTAAGAGGCTGGTCTTCCAGCCTAGCATTGCCCTTTGGTAAGATTAAGCTGGCAGCACAAATAAGAAAGACCCCCAAGAGGCAGCACATAGAAAAAGATTCCAGAAGTAAAGAAGCATGCTGTGTAAAAGTAATTGTAATAAAAATTGAAAGTAGAGCCCACAGCTTTGGGCCCAGCAACACTTCAGATTACCGATGCCTACCTCCTGTGCAAGTACCATAGCTCTCACATGCAGTGATTAAGAGTGGGAAGGAAAAACAGTGGTTGGATGAGATATTTAAAAATATGCAAGGCTGTACTGAGTGTACTTTTTCTTTTTTTAGAAAACTTTTTTTTTATTGTGAAGTATAACACATAGAAAAATGCACAGTGGATGATCACCAAATGAATATCAAGAAATAAAAGTATTACCAGCACTCCAAAAGCATCCCCTTGACTGAAGTTGCCAAATTCAGCAAATAAAAACACATATCCCAAATATTGCATGGGACTTATACTAAAACACTATTTGTTGTTTATCTGAAAATCAAATCTAATCGAGCATCTTGTGTTTTATGTGGCAACCCTAGCATTTCCAGACCTTCCCTGCTTTCCATAGGTAACCACTATCCTGGCTGCTATCACTATAGTTAGGTTTTGCTTGCTTTTGAATTTTGTGTCAGTGGAAATGTCCAGTGTTTATTCTTTTATGACTGATTTTTTTAGCTCAACATTATGTTTGTGAGATTTGTTCATGTGGTTGTCTGTATTTGTAGTTTGTACATTTTATTGCTCTATAGTATTCCATTGCATTAGTATGACATCATTTGTATACACATTTAATCTTGAGAGAGATTTGGTTTGTTTGGGGTTATTAACAATAGTTTTCTGTGACTATTCTTGTTTATGTCTCATGATATAATTGCTAGATCATGTGGTATTCATATGTTTGGCTTTAGTACATGCTGTAAAAATAATTACACCAATTTAAATACACACCACCATTTTATTTCCCTGTTGCTCCATATTCTTTCTAACACTTGATAACGTTAGTCTTGTAAATTTTAGGTATTTTGATCAGTGGATGTAGTGCAACTCTGTAGTTTTAATCTGGATTTACACATTTATCAGTCATTTGTATATTCTCTTTTGTGTAGTATCTGTTTGTCTTGTCGCTAACTTTCTGCTGTGTTGCCTACCTTTTTCTTAGTGATTTGTAGAAGTTGTATATAGGTTTTGGATATGACTAATTTGTCAGCTATATTGTGTTGCAAGTATCTTCTAGCCTGTGCTTGGCCTTTTCATTCTCTTGATGGTGTTTTTTGTTGTTGTTTATAAGAGTGCTTGTTTATTTTTTGAATTTTAATTTTATGTTTCAATTACAGTTTACATTCAATATTATTTTGTATTAGTTTCAGGTGTACAGCATAGTGGTTACACAATCATGTACTTTACAAAGTGTTTTGCCTGATATTTCCAGTACCTACCTGGCACCACACGTAGTTATTATATTATTAACTATATTCCCTATGCTGTACTTTATGTCCCCATGACTGTTTTGTAACTACCAATCTGTACTTCTCAGTCCCTTCACCTTTTTTTACACAGTCCTCCAAACTCCCTCTCCTCTGGCAACCATCAGTCTGTTCTCTGTGTCTATGAGTCTGTTTCTCTTTTGTTTGTTCGTTTACTTTTTTNAACATTATAGAAGCAAGTTGTATTAAATGGAATTTAAGCTTTTAAAGGTTGGAAATACTTGTCGTTTACTTTTTTTTTTTTTTTAATTCCACATATAAGGAAAATCATATGGTATTTGTCTTTCTCTGATTGACTTATTTCACTTAGCATAATACTTTCTAGGTCCATCTTGATGGTGTTTTTAATGAATAATTTTTCCTTTAGTTTTAGTGCTTTTTGTTTCCTATTTAAGAAACAGTCCTTTACACCAAGGTCATGATGATATTTTCCTGTGTTATTTCTGGAAATCTTGTTGTTTTTACCATTCATGTTTAGATCTATAATCTAGCCAGAATAAATGTGTGTGTGTGTGTGTGTGTGTGTGTGTGTGTGTGTGTATGAAAAGAGGTAGGGGTCAGGTTGTATTTTTTCTCATGGATATTCAGTTGACACAGAACCATTTGTTAAAGAACAAAATTCAACTGAGTATATTTTAAAGATCTTGTTGGTTTTATTCAGTGATTCAAGAATGGGGCAGCATCCAATATCCAGCAGATAGAAAGGAGCTCTGAAGAGCTATACAAGGCAAGATATTTATGTAGGCAGAAGGGAGCAGGAACCAGGAAGTTGTACTAGGAAAAAAACGGATTGCTTATTGCAAGGTTAATTTCCTAATAGGGGATGTCATGGGTTTATCAGGCAGATTATTTTAATGCTGATCAGGAAATTCATGATTGGCTGGTTCAAGATTCTATTTTTGTGAGAGCCAAAACTGTAATTAAATTTCAGTTTGGTGACCTGGGGCTTAGCATGAGTGACTTCATTTTGGGCCTGTTGTCCTGTCTTCAACACATTTTTGAAAGGCCACTCTCTACTTCTCTGCAGAGCTTCGTTTGTCATAAATCAGATATCTAAATATGTTTGGGTCTGTTTCTGGACTCCTGAGTGTATTTAAAAAATTATTTACTTTATGCCTTAGATCAGTAGTTGAACACACAGGAGACAGAGAGAGAGGGAGAGGGGGAGGGGGAGAGATGAGGGAGAGGGGAAAGGGGAGGGCGGAGGAGGATGAACTAGGGAATGACAGTGTACTTATTAGATACCTTGGGTGGTCATTCAACCAGTCAGTATTTATATATTGAATATCCTAGTATGTGCCCATCACATGGCTGCATTAAAAAAATGTTGCACTTGTCTTGGGACTAAATGTGATGTTTGTTGCTACAAAATTAATATTTTAAAAACTTGTACCTGGTTAAAAGATTGAATGTCCTCTGGCATAGGCTTGTCAGAAAGTCAGTAAAGCCAAATCTGGCCTTTTTATCACTCCTCTCTCTCTCCCGCCTCAATTACAGAGCCTTGCTTGCTGAATTAAATTATCAAATGAAAAACCTTGGCCTCCTGCAGATAGTATAATTACTGACTGTTGGGTTTAAAATTATAGCACAAGCTAACTTTTATTGCTTTTTCTCAGAAATTAAAAAGGAGCTTGTTTCCCCCCTTCATTAGCTGCTGGTTTCTGTCCATGGTTAGCTTATGTGCAACCTATACTTCTATCTCTGAAATACAAGAAGTATTGTCCTTTCTAAAATATAAGCATTTGTACCACTGATGACATTAAATTTTATATGAATTAATTGAAAACCTTTGGGAAAGATCCCAACTAAATTCCAGACACAGTATCTTTTTCCAACAATTTCCATGCTGGATTTGTATTGACCTGAGAGAATCTCAGGCATATTGTCAAAAATCATAGGATATTAAAGTTAAAAGGGACATTTCTAGTCAAAGCTGACAATCTTTTCTCCGGTATTTTGGACAGATGGTTGTACAGCTGATCTTTGAAAGCCTCTGATGAATAATGAGGAGAACACTTTCTGCTTTTTATGAAGCTACCTTTCCACCATCTTTAGAGGGTTTATTGTAAACCCTAATTTATAGTGACGCAACTGTTTCCTTAAGAAGAAAAAAATTGTTTGAATTTACAACAGTAAAATAAAACAAATTCAGAATCTCTGTCTCTCTTACAAAAAGGTACAGGCAATACCTTGAAATTTATTTTTATCTACACTGTTACAAGCCTACATATTAATATATAGGGGAAAATGCTCTCTGGAAAATTTACCAGCAATTTAAATGATAAACAACTGAAAGAGAAAAGCACTATGAGTAATATATAGTACACATATTGACTTCATTATATGATGTTAGATAAGCCAATTTAAATTTAGCTCAATGATGAATATCATAAAAAATCACGTTATTTACAAGGTG